TCATTTTGGATGCCCTATTGAGTTTTGTCTACACCATCAGGTTGCCAACCTTCCCTCTCAAAAGGCAGTCTGAAATAGTTTTGAGAGCATTTGTTAAGAATTTATCTTCGTGATGAACACCACAAATAATAAAATTAAATAAGTTGAGGACAATTTTTCCTCTCCACACAGAAGTCTGAACATTGCATAAATGAACAGGAACAAGTCCTGAGGAACTTGCCTATGCACCATATAATGCAGGATTCTCATAGCAAAAAATATTATAACTAAATCACATGTGTGATGAAGGTATAGCAATACAGCCTCATTCCAAAATTCACTTAATCAAGACTGCATTAAAAATCATATTAGGAAAACATCTTCTATTTTTGTGACTTATAGAGAAGTGCTGAACACAGCTAACACTTATTTCTGACCAATAAGGACAAAATAATTTATCCTGCACCAGCTACTAGCAAAACAGGTGCAAATGAACATTCTGTTGATGTTGCATATGATTCAGAGCGTGTCTCAAATATCTGACTAGCTGGACTGTAGACACATTTTTGCTAGCTCTCAGTTCAACTCAAACTAAGGAGCAGGCAAGATCTTTCCAATTCAGGGATATCACTAGAGAGGAAGAATGACCATCCTAAATAATTTTTGCTTTCAGCAGCAGTTACACATCACATTTTTCTACTTTTTGACCACATAAAAAGATACAATTTCATGAGAAACAGCAATTCAAAATTGTTTTTTCTGTTTCTGTCTTTTCTAGACCATTAAGGGGTCTCTTAAAGGTTCAAGCATTTCATTCTGTAGTTCGAGAACCAGAAGAAACCTGTTCTATAGTGCCTGTCTAAATTAGTATAGCTTATTACAGAACATAAAACATAAATACTAACCACAATCTTAAAGTGCCAGCAGCTACAATGTCCTGTTGTATTACTTGTGTTTATCTGCTCCTGTACAATGTGTTTTCTTAAAAGATTTTACAGGAACTATTCATGGGTTTTTGAACATTTGCAATTCAGGTGCATCTGAAAGGTAGAATAATAGTAAACCTGCCACCTGAAAAAAAATCTTAGCAGTACGTTCTACTACAAGCTGCCATATAAGTTCTCTTAGTTCCTCAAAGCCCAAAACAATTTCTAACTACTCCCAACACGATAAACTGCAAAACACTTGTAGAGCAAGTTTTCCACTTAGATACACAATATTCACTTCTAGAGGGTAAAAAATGCAGGACTATTTGATTAGCTGTCCTGTCAACTAAGATTAACTGAAAAGCACAGCTGTTTTCTTGAAGGAAAAATAAGCCTCTAAACCATCAAGGTATCAGAGATAATAGGGTCACTTGAAATGTAAACACTACTTACACCTGCCACAGGATAGTGTGAGAGTAGAGTAGCTATTAAATCGTCTTAAGTCTTGAAAGCTGCTTCTTGGATTTATGCCACAGAAAACTAGTCAACTGAGACACACACTCTTGACCTCAGATTGTTTCTGGAACAAGACTACTGTTATGTGTAAACTCCTCATCTTTGCTATGCCTGTAACTGGTCTGCTAAGAATAACAGAATGTATCCCTTTCCCCTTAAACTGTATCTAGTAAATGTATCCTCAAATCCAGGTGGAAAACTAACTACACATTTAAAAAGACAGGTCTTGATAATACCGAGCCAAACATATTAACTAAGATTTAAGAAAGCTTTCCTTAAACGTGGTTCTTAATAGAAAATGCCTTTTATAAGATGGCATGAAATACCTCTGCCATTACTAATCCTGCCTTACTTTGTTATTACTCTCATTTATTGCAGCTCAAAGATGGCATCAAGTTAAGAACATTAGGTGCTTTTAAAAATGTTATTTTAAGATGTTATTCCCCTTTCCAGCTCTTCTGTAAACTGACATTTGTCCTTTCTAAGTAAGGCCTTACAGCTTCAGTAAAGAGCAGTACCTTTATTTAGTACACACACAGTCTGCCCACAATTGCAGTTTACCATCTCTACCCATTTCTCTTTTTACAGGAAGAGTGTTACAAAACAAGTAGCCTGTGCCTAACCTTTCTAACCTAAACACACTCACTCTGGATATGTACCATGCTTTCCCAGCCACCATAAATAGAATGCAGAGCTTGGGAAGCCCTAACTCCAAGATCTATTTTCTCCTTTAGCATCTGGCCCTCTTTCCATTAACACTTCATCACAAAATTTGCAGAAAATAGAAGTATCCAATACTGACATCAAGAAACCTTTGCTCTGGTATTAGTAGCAAAATCCTGCCTTCTACAGCATCAAACCAATCAACATTAGTTTGCACAGGCTTTAAAGCAGTTAAATATCACCTGTCCATGCTGGCTCTTAAAGGTTTGGTGCTTCACATCATAGCTGAACTGAATTAACTGCTTGCTGCCTCTCCTTGAAAATAAATCAAACACACACTTCTGGAAAATTTCCAAATTCCTGGAACTCCTTTTCAAGTCTCCAGAAAAACAAGTTGGAAGACTGGGCTGAAACAGTTTCAGGTCTTAAAACACTTACAAAACCTAATGCTTGGCAATAGGTCTTCCTCAGTCTGCAAGAAAAAGTTTACGAGTCAGTAATGAAAAATAATACTATCCAGATGGTTTTTACTGCTTGCAGCCAATAATTCCATTTCTCTCCTTGTAAGACTTTAACATCAGAATTAAAAACAAAACCCCAAAATCCCACATACGCACTTTAATCATAATAGCTTAGAAATCTCAGACCTGTAAGTTCACATAAATTTATGCTCTAAAACACCCTGAATCTAAACAATCTCTTTTGGTCAATCTCAGAGAAGATAGGGATATGAGTCAGAAACAACTGTACTTACATACTTTTCTCTTTTGTACAGGAAAGGAAAAATTTATTGTTCTTACTTAGGAGCAGTTTCCACTGATAAGAGTCAGAATACATGCCGTCCCTTCCTTTCCTCGTTCTACCATTTTAAAAAAAAGAACCTGTTTTCTTACAGATATATAAGATACTACAAAATATATGTAATCGCCAAAAATAATTCCTACTTATGTGTGAAAACGTGTGCTTATATGAAGCTTCAGGATCCTGGAATTCCCACTGGAAAATATTTTTCCTGTCAGATACTTCCTCTTAGTTATTTGTTTAACCTCTGTATAGCCAGCCATTTCTTGCATTGAGACACAATGGGTCACTCCGAAGTCAGTGAGTGGTAGTCAAAGGAAAAGTAAGGTTGCACAGCCAAGAGGAAGGTGAGGACAGTGAGATCTCTTCATCTCCTTCTTTCAACAGCTGTCATATTGACTCAATTGCTCATGAAACGTAAGTCTTGGTTCCACTTCAATTTATTCTTTGGCTGTGGGTAAGACAGGGGTATTTTCCACACTCAGCAATACAAGTGCTTGAATTGCCTCAAGCAGCCTGAACCCCCTGCCTTTCCACCCAGTATCTCATGTAAGTACAGTGTTGTACTAGCTGAAGTACTCCTGCGAATGTGCTACAAAAGAGACTGGGAAAGCAATCTGGCTGCACGTTCCCACATCATTCTTTCTGGTTGAGACATTACAGCTGTTCGTGCTGCTGCATGGCCAACTACTCCAGCTGAATCGCCTGCTTCCCCTTAACCCCTATCTCACTACAACACACACACGGTTTTTCTGGGTCATCTCCCAGAGAAAAGAGAATGAAATGAAGGAGGAGACATCTTAAATCTGCACTGAAGATTTAACTGCAGAAACAGATACGGCAGTAGTTTCACCACAGCTCAACCCTACCTAAATTGGCATTGTTGCAGCCTCCACCGCTGCACCTCTCAGCCTCATACTCACACTTCCTTCCTCCATTCAGCACTGGCACATTGGTGTGGCAAATTGGTTTGGGGTGCTCAACTGCTGAGATTCTTATTATTTTCTTTTGTCAGGACTGTTACATTTTCTGCTGGCTTAACATACTTAACCAGGCTTATGGTACAGTCAGACAAACGAAAGTATCAGTACAAGACTGAAAGCAGTAACAGACTGATGGGAAGAGAGCAGGAGTATGACTGCAAGAGCAGCAAACAACTTTGATCACTGTAAACTCTCTCCTGTTATACTACAGCATGAGAAAATGTGACAGCAACCTAAATCAACTTTTCTCAGCTACAAACTTCTGCTATAGTGGCTCTCCGGTGTTCTGAAGCAGTACGAGTCAGTACTGTCAGGAAATACTACTTAGTGAATCTACTGATAGTTTTCTAGCATTTTGCAAATGTTAATTATGCTGCAGAGCATTCTATGTAAAAGGTGAATAAATAAGACTTTAACAACAGATCTCCCTGGTTTTTTCCTTTGGCTTCACTAAAAAGCACCCATGAATCTTCATCCCAATCTACTTCCTTCTCAAGCCACTAAGAAACTGTTCTTAGATGAAGTATATCGTTTTGCATTTTGCTATATGAAACTAACTCAATGCCATTTTTGCTGCTAAATTCAAGATCCTGAGTCAAATCATGAAGACTAATAGGACTCTACAATGTTTTAACTGACTGCAGATTGTGGAACGTACAGTTTACCATGGAACTAGAAGCACTATTATATGTTTAGACTCTCAGTATTTAAAGTGCATGACCACACTCACAAGGATACTTAACTTTCAGAAAACAAAACAAACATCTCCTTCATGGCCACTATTCCCTGAGTTTTGATTCTACAGAACTTGACATCATTCATGCTGGAAAATTACTTACTGACAGACATAATTTTTTCAAACTTACATTCTCAGAAGCAAGCTTTCCTTGGAAAGCTTCATAATTTATTTTTTTTCCCCTTTCCTGTGACAGATTTGAATAACAGTTGAGTATTTATTAGCATGCACAGAGACAAAAAACAGCACAGGTCATCTGCCGTTCACTGGTTTTATTCCTAGAATTTCATCGTGGCCATAAAATTCTGATTCCTGGTTGCACTTGAAGGAAAATAGATCTTTTATCCGAAGGCAAGAAACGCATGTTGAGCAAACAGAAAGCCACTGCATACTTACTCTCTAGTTCTTCTTTCTCAAAGTTTGTGTTGATAGTAGAGCTGATTTTACCCATATCCACAACGGCTTCTTCATCATGACCCTGAAGAAATAAGACATAAGTTTAAGTTAAAACTAAATAGAACTAGTTTTGGGTTTTTTCCTAAATTTCTAAGTATGTATTGCAGTTCTGAAGCTGTTTGACAAAGTTTTCTAAAACAACACATTTTCACCTCTTGGAAACTGAAAATGTCACTGAAAATCTACCCATCAAATTCTTCAAGAAAACATTACACTGTACTGAAGGAAAAACAGAGTAAATCAACAGATATGCTAAATACCATGCAATTTGCTTTTGCAATGGTCTCGATTTCATCATATCAATGATCAGGACGTACATTTCAGGAGTGCAATGTTCTTTTAGTTTTACATTCAACAGCAATGAATCTACTTCATTAAAGTAACAGGCAAATTTATTAAAAGGTACATTAGTTAACATTCAGAGATCTTAAACCCATTTGCTTAAAGAAGGAACAATTCCTGTGTGAGATTTTCCAGCACAAATAAGAAGCTTTTGTGAACCAAGGATTATACAAAGGGGTGGCAAAAGAGTGAAGTTAGACAACTTGAGGGTCTTTCCTAGACCAACAGTTTTGGAAACATGAAAATAACTGTTCCACTCTGGTTTCAACAGACAGCTTGTTAACCACACCCCTATCTAATTCACATTTTTAATGCACGAAGTTAGAAAACGGCAGTCGCAAGACGATCTGTTCAGATTCCATTACAACTGAAACCATACCACTCATAACGCAAAAAAGCACAGTATTTGAAACAGATATAGGCTCAAGAATGAGACTTAGCTCTGAACACGTCCTCTAATCATGTTTAGCACGCATCATTAAAGCGGACCTTTAAACAGTGCCTTTTGCTCGATCTTAACAAAAATAAATCTTAAAATAACTGAGCAGTAGAATTCTCAATCTCATCTCAGACTTGACATCAAAACAATATTAAAGTTGCCTTTTTCCAAATGTTTGCATTCCTTAGAATACAGTCCACTTTTAACAGCTCAGAAATGACAGCCTCCTGGTCAAACTGGTTCTCTAAAGAACTGCTGCGTACAGGCTAACGCTCTATTTTACATCTAACTGCTGAAGAATAGTGTCCCTGCTTTCTGCTCCCTTGGGCGCACTTTTCCTTAAGTCAGATCTATCAATCATGAAGTCAGATATAAAGAGCTGATGCAATGGATTTTTATTTAGGGAAAAAAAACAACCAACCACAACTTAATTAGTTTTCCATTGGATCAGTTCACCAACCTGACTTTTCCTGTGGCCATATGACAGCAAGATCCACCACAAATCAATCTGTTTGATCACTGCTTCCAGCAGCAGCCCACTGGTGCCTTTACATAGATCAACACGGGATCTGTAATAATGGTTTCATGAGGAAAAAACGTAAGCCTAAATCAGGGGTCTTACAGGAACTAGGAACTCTAACAGTGTTGACATTCACCTAAACTTTGATCTTAGAATTTCTCTATAGTAGAATGCTTTATATATAGAACAGGTTGGTCTCACGGGTAAGTGACAAGGCTGAAAAACAACATATTTGTGTAACAACTACAAGCTAAAACATACTATAGCAGCCCCCACCAAAAAAAAAAAAATTGAACACATAATTCTTTAGTCTTAATAAAATAGATATTTGTTATTTGTATGGTGCACACATCCACACAAAAAAATCCAAGTCTTTGTTAGACTATTGAGGAAAGTAGATTGAAGAATATGAA